TATGACAGATACAAAAGGGTTAGTATTCCTCTTGCTAAACACTTTAAACTGAGTATTAGTCAGAGTCCACGTATTGATGAAGAGAAAAAGGAGATATTTCGTATTCCTTACTCTTCTGCCGTTGGTAGCTTGATATATGCTATGGTTTGCACTAGACCAGATATTGCACATGCCGTTGGTATTGTTAGTAGATTCCTTTCTAATCCTGGAAAGGAATATTGGGATGCAGTAAAATGGATATTGAGGTATCTGAAAGGTACTGCAGATTTGAAGTTGTGCTTTGGCAGTTGAAAGTCTGAACTTGTTTGTTACACAGACTCTGATTTAGGAGGCAATCTTGATAATTCAAGATTCACTTCCGGTTATTGATCACTTTTGCAGGGGGAGCTGTTTCTTGGCAATCTAGACTACAGAAGTGCATAGCTCTATCCACCAAAGAAGCCGAATATATTACTGTCACAGAAGGTGCCAAAGAACTATTATGGATGAAGGAGTTTATTAGTGATCTTGGCTTTGAGCAACCAAGGTACATCTTGTTTTGTGATAATCAGAGTGTTATCTGTCTCACCAAGCACTTCACTTTTTATTCTAAGACCAAACATATAAATAGAAAGTATCATTGGATAAGAATGATCGTGGAAGATAAATTATTTGAGGTTGAGAAGATACATACTGATGAAAATCCTCGGATATGCCGACAAAAGCGGTGGTTGCAGATAAGCATGTGTTTTGTAGAAAATTCGCAGACATAAAGCCTATCAATAGTTCCTCTACTTGAAGATATAATTGACCCCTTGGCTGGAGGGGGATTTTGTTGGGCCCATGCCCATGTTGTTTAGCCAAAGGCCCAATGGCCTAATCCTATTTTCTTTTGGTTACCATTCCTATTCGGATTTTGATTCGACTTTTATTCTTATTTCTAGTTGGTTTTGGCTTTAAGAAAAAGCACCACTCATTATCTATAGATAGGACAACCTTGGAGAATTATTCTATGCTCATTGGTATAAGTCTTTGAAAGACTTTAGCACATAAGAGTGGTTTTTTACAGAGCTTTCATCAAGAGAGAAGAGAGAAGAAAAAGTGTTTGTCTTGCTATAGATTTTTTTTCCGACCAGCCAATTACAAATTATGTTTTTCGATTCGTTAACCGTGGGCTGAAATTTTAACTGAATGTTTGTAACATCTCGATCTTTTATTTGAACGGTGGATATCGGATTTAGACGCCTTTAGCATCCTATTTCGAGCCCCAAACAATAGCTCTATTTTTGTGACTTCTCCTCTTTCTTCAATTGATTTGTTATTGCTATTGTTGCTTCATGTTTGGCACTTATTGTGTAGTCAATTTGAAGAACCTTTGTAAACCTCTTATTGTTATAGTGGAGCTTTTTGGATCCTTGTGATCACATGATTTTTACCTTCGATTTGAAGGGTTTTCCACGTTAAAATTTGGTGTTCTTTATCTTCTTTATTTTTGGGATTGCCTCTTCCTCGACATAATAGTGGTACCAGAGCCAGCTTCGAGCAAGGTTCAAGACATGTTTATTTTGGCGAGTTTAGTTCTAGCCGCAACCTATTTGACGGTAATCATAATTTTTGTTTGAGAAATTTGACCGGAGTGCTACTCACGTTGAGACAAATTTTGTGGTGTAGATTTGGAGATGCGACCTATTGAAGGTTATGTGAAGTAGGTGGATCAAGATTATTTTAGCACAAAATTCAGGCCAAAGAGGAGAATTGTTAGGTCTTTGTCCTGATTTCCTTACCATATTTGGTTTTCATATTTGTTGAAGGAAGGGCAACATATTTACCATAATTATTTTTTTCGTTTTTATGAAAAGAAAAATATAATCCTTCCATATTTGGCTAGTCCTTTTTCTTAGAGGAAAAGATTTTGACTTCTATAAATTAAGGGTCCTTCTTTCTCATTCAGTAGCATCCACAATGTAGCCATATGGGATTTGCGAGTCTTGTTTAGGGGAAGAACTTTTCGGGACAAGTGTTAGTGTGTCACTTGTATTTTGCCTCTTCGTGAGGTTGTTCTCTCAATATTTTTGCACTCTCTTTTATATAGTGGATTGATCATCACTGCCGTAGATACATGTCAATTGATCGAACCACAATTAAATGTTTTTGTCTCTTTTGTTATTTTTCTTTTGTTGTGTGATTTATAGTCGTTCAAGGTTTGCTTTACTAGCTTCCGCATGACATCTGATTATTTAGATCCTAACAAGTGGTATCATAGCGAGGTTCAAGACAGGTTCATCTTGGAGGGTTTAGTTCTAGCTGTAACCTATTTGACGATAATTATGATTTTTGTCTGAGAAATTTGACCAGAGTGCTACTCACGTTAAGACAAACTTTGTGGTTGAGATTTGAAAATGTGACATGTTGAAGATTATGTGAAGAAAGTGAATCAAGTTTATTTTTTCAGAAAATTCAGGCCAAGGGGAAGAATTGTTAGGTGTTGTCCTGATTTTCTTACCGTATTTAGTTTTCCTATCTCTTGAAGGAAAGGACAACATATCTACCATAATTGAATTTTCCTTTTCTTGGAAGGAAATTATAAATCTCCCATATTTGGCTAGTCCCTTTTCTTGGAGAAAAAGGCTTTATACTTTTATAAATTGAAGATCCTTCCTTCTCATTTAATAGCATCCACAATGTAGCCATAAGGGGTTTGAGAGTCTTATTTAGGGGGAGAACTTTACGGGACAAGTGTTAGTATCACTTGTGTTTGCCTCTTCGTGAGGTTGTTCTTTCAATATATTGTACTCTCTTTTATATAGTGAATTGCTCTATCTCCATCCGTTGACATAGGTCAATTGACCAAACCACGTTAAATGTTTGTGTCTCTTTTGGTATATTTCTCTTCTATTATTTGATTTATCATCGTTCAAGTGTTGCTTTACTAGCTTCCACATGACACCTGATTATTTCGATCCTAACAAACTATACAAAATTTTGAAAACATTGATTATAACTATTGGAATTATGTATCCGAAATAAAGTTATTCTGAGCGACAACTTTTCCACTCAAGGTCATGTTACTTTCTTGTTTTCACTACGTGCAAATTAGGGGTGTACAATAAAAATCGATAAATCACACCAAATCGATAATTTGAATCGACCGAAGATAAAAATTCGATTGTAGTTTAGTTTAATTTGGTTTGGTATTGAAAAAAACCCAATCATAATTGATTTTTGGTTTAGTTTTAACTAAAAAAAAGTCATGAAACCAAACCAACCCGATAGTACATTTTTACAATTTTTAAAAATATTTTATACATATAAATATTGGAAAAGGGTCAGCTTTGCCCCTCAACTATTACATTTGGTCTAATAATTTACCTCATCCACCTATTGGGGTAAATATACCCTTTTGTTAAGGTTTTTGGCTCACACATGCCCTTTAAGTTAACAGCCCACTTCAGCTTTTAAGTCAAATTTATTTTTAATGATGTGGCATAATATTATTGGTTGATTTAAAGCCCACCCCAAATATGTCCAACCCACCCACCCGCTTGAGATCGACCCGACCCAACATATACATTACCCACTAAACCCTATAACCCATACAACTGAAGCTCCCAGACCAAATTACACGACTGAAACTCTGAAACTCCTCTTAAAATTGGGGTTCTTGTTGTTCTTCTTCTACCCTCTCCTGATTCTGAAAATCAGAGTTCTTACATCTTCTTCATCTTGTTTTAGCTTCAAAATGTCTGAATCTTCTTCTACTTCTTCCGAAATTCATACGACTGATACTCCCCTCTCTGAAAATTAGGGTTCTTTTTGTTCTTCCCTCTCCCAAATCTGAAAAATCTTAGCTTCAGATCTTTTCCATCCTGTTTTAGCTTCAAAATCTCTGAATCTTCTTCTGCTTCTTCCCGTGACCAAAGTGAGAACCGTACATGTTATTGTGGATTGATTGCCAACCAATTTACTGCTACGACACCTTTGAATGGTGGTCATAGATTCTACAAATGTTGTCGTTATGAGACTAATGGTTGTCGATATTGGGAATGGCGCGACGAAGAACTTCCACCTCATGTGTCAATGTTTATCCATAAGCAAAGAAATTCGTTAATTCCTTTCGTCTCGAAAAGAACAAGCTGAGGAAGACGGTGAATGATATGGTTGGGAGTAAAGCTGCAGATTTGAATAACGTATCCTTGGAAGAGAAAGTTTCAAACTTGGGCAGAAATCGAAGCGATGGAAAAGGCTTGCGATATGGTCATGGGCTATTTTTGTTGTTTTTGTAGCTGGCACAACGATGTATTGAAGTTGGTGGCCTCTAATGTTTTTGCATTGATGATGAAATTCTGCTGATATTAGTTTTTTAAACTAGTTGTTTTGCTTGTTAAATGAAGGAAATATGTAGATTTTAATTGTTTAGATTAGTCGTTTTGGTTGGTTAATGAAGGAAACCTGCAGATTTTAGTTGTTTAGATTGGTTGTTTTGATAGTCAAATGTAAAAAATCTGCAGAAGTTGATGTTTGTTAAGGTTGTAGAATCTGCAGAAGTAGATGTTTGTTAAGTTTGTAAAAAATCTGCAGAAGTTAGAAATTGATGTTTTGTTAAGTTCGGTAAAAAATTGTGCCATATTCTGTTGGTCTAAATATGCAGATTTTGTGCCATATTCTGTATCCGAGAACAAGAATCTCATATTAACTTTCAATTACACAGTATTTGCTTTGAGAACCCTTTTTTTACTCTCCATCACTTGCTGAAGAGAAAGTAAATTTACATGCAACTATTCTAAGAATTTAAGAATCATATATGTAAACTTAAGATTTGCTAAAGAGGCTAGATGGCAAGAGTGACACTGGAAATAGTACAACCAAAACAATACATAACCAAAACAGAAAAACAGTAAAGAACTGAAACCAACCACTCTAATTCACAACAAAATTCACAACAGAAGTAAAACAGTACAACAGAAGTCACTGAAATCAGATTAACCAAAACAGAATCAGATATGCAAATTAAATCACTGAAATCAGATTAACCAAAACAGTACAATAACCAAAATAGTCATTACACAACTGCTCTAATTCACCACTTAAACAATAAAAAACAAGGTCTGAATCAATCAGTACATAGCAGTCGGATTAACCAAAAATAATTGATCTACACAAACTACTCTAATGCTTGTCCTTTTTAGCCTGCAACAGTTGTTAAATTAATTGTGTTTATAAATTAAAATTTTTTGTTAGATAAGAAAATATGTGAAAAAGACTATTACCAAAGGTCATTTTCTTCTGTTGTGGCCTGTTGTACCACAGAACCCACATGTCATTACAAGTCCTTTTCTTGAAGCTGACCAGACCCCCTCCCTTTTCCAAGCTTCATCTTTTTCCCTTTTTCTCTTTACCTTTGGTCTACCCACCATTTTATGTATTTCTGGTGGCCCCATTGCATGTTGTGGCTCAACTTTCCAAAATTTCTCACATCTCACTGGCTGTAACTTATGCATGTATGCCAACATATAAGCTTCCTTTGAATATCACCAATGCACCTCATTTAATGGATCTTGTTTGTCGTGCATTAAAGCTTTGATAGCATGAGGACATGGTATTCCTATCAAATTCCATGCCCTGCAAGTACACTTCTTCAATTCTAGGTTCACTGTGTGCTTATCTCTACCCTCAACCACTTCATATCCATAATCTCCATTAAAAACAACTTTACACTCTAATGCAATCAATCTGTAATCATGGTAAAGCTCTATAGCATATGGGCTAATTTCTTCCCTCCAATTCTTGCATTCCTCCTCACGGTTCTTCAACAAATTCATTACCTACCATAAAAAAGGAATACCATAGTATAGTAATAAACAAAATTATAAAAAAATTTAACATACGGGAAAAAATTACCTTTAATCTAATGTCTTCCAACATCTTGATTATAGGTTTAGTTCTTGCTTCAAGAATTCATTTGTTGAATGATTCGGTAAAGTTATTGTCAACCATCTGGTTCTTGCATGTGGTGTCAAAGTAAGCCCTACACCAGTTTTGAGGAGGATAGTGTAATAGTTCCCTAGCAGCATCTTCATGAATGTCACCCAAAGTCTTCAATTGATCTTTGAATTCTTCTTCATAGGTACTCCAAGCACACCACCACATTAACTTTTTCATCTCTATACCTCTCCAATTTTTGCTCCAATTAGCTTCAATGTGCCTAGCACACCACCTGTGATTTGCTTTTGGAAGGACAGTGGAAACAACCTCCAACAACCCCTACAACAATGGAAAATCAGTTACAAATAAAGTATAATATAATGAAAAATCAGCTACAATGAAAAAAAATTGACAAACCTTTACCTTCTGCATATCCGACATAAATGTCACTTTTTCACCATCTTCAAGCTCCAAAGAATTTCTCAATAACTCCATAAACCACTTCCAGGTTCTACCAGTTTCTTTATCCACTACTACCCATGCAAGAGGATAAAAATGCTTCACTGAATCTTGTGCCATGGCCACCAGTAGAATTCCCTTACATTTCCCTTTTAGAAATGTGCCATCTAAGCCTATAAGAGGTCTCAAACCTGCTTTCCAGCCTATTTTCAAAGCTTGAAAGAAAATATACATCCTAAGGAACCTCCTTTTTCCTTCTGCCAAAGCATCTTTAGAAATGTTTATCACCACATCAGAACCAGGGTTACTGTCCCTCAATTCTTGAGCATAGGCCTCTAACCTCCAATTTCTCTAGCACAAGCCTCTTTACTCTTTTCATCTTTGAATAGCTAACATTAAGTTTGAATTGATCCTCTAGGTCCACTCTCATATCTTTCACCTTGTATTTAGGATTATTTTGGACTTTGTTCTTGAAATAGTGTGCTAAAGCTTGGGGAGTAGCTCTTGGATTCTTGTATGCGGGTTCACAAGTATGCTTTGTTTTCAAAGTTTTGATTTTAAATCCTTGATCTCTATTATCCTGAGATATCAATAACTCAAAGGGACAACCAACAGCACATATATATCTAACTCTACCAGTATCACTCTTCTTAACCTTAAGGCCCTTCCCATTAGCAATTGCATAATACCCCACAATTCTTTTAGCTTCGGCCAAATTCCCAAAACTCATACCCTTTTCCAACTCTTTATACTCGTCTAGTTTGTCATTGACTTATTTATTCCTTTCCTTACTAAAGAGATCCAATTGATCATTATCGTAATCACTAGAGTCATGTTCATATGCTTCCTCTTCCTCACATGACTCACAATCAATCCCAACATCTACAGTGACACTGTGAAGTTCAATGTGGTGACTTATGCTAGGAGCTGACACATGTTCTTCACCCTCATCAGTAGCAAAGAATTGTACACTTAGCTGGTTAGTTAAGAGTTGTTGTAGTGTTCTGATTCCTGAATCCCCTTCAACCACAAAGTACCTACCTGAAAGCCCTATTACTAGAAGTTGTTCAACCTTCTTAAACCCACATTTTTCAATGTATTCCGAACAAATATCTATATAAGACAGCAAATCCACATCATAAGCTTGCAACAAGTGAGTCAATTTTTTAATGCACACTATTTGAGATTTCAAGACCCATCTGCCCCCATAATTCAAGACCAAGTCCACCTTTTCAGCCATTCTTTGTTGAGTTCACGTGCAAGCCATAAAAAAAAGGGAAAGGGACCCATCAAACATATTCAAACGGAAAATATGGTCCAATTTATCAATATTTAATGTCTTAAAGTACAGACAAGAATAAAGTTTAATGGACCACATACAACTATACAACTATAAATGCAAAAACAGAACTATTTGAGCAGACAACAAGACCCCATCGGAACACTAAATTGCTATCAACTATACAAAGTCCCTAAAACAGACCAAGAAAAACAAAGAGGGACCACATGCAATCTCAATATTACTAAACAATGACAAGTAAAGCATAAAAGAACAGTAGATGATAAGAGACTTCATCTATTTATTCGAACCCTAACCATAGATAGAAACAGTAGACTTCAATTCGAACCCTAACCATATTTATTCTAGAAAAGCAGTAAAATATTACTTGAATAGAGAAGAGACTTCAAAATTTGATCTTGAACTTGAATCTTTCAAAAACGATTTGCAGCGAGCATCACTATCGTCATTAGGTTTGGGGTAGTTTTTGTCGGTCAGTCATTTGGGGAGCTTCAGTCGTATGGGTTATAGGGTTTAGTGGGTAATGTATATTTTGGGTCGGGTCGATCTCAAACGGGTGGGTGGGTTGGACATATTTGGGGTGGGTTTTAAATCAACCAATAATATTATGCCACGTCATTAAAAATAATTTTGATTTAAAAAGCTGAAGTGGGCTGTTAACTTAAAGGGCATGTGGGAGCCAAAAACCTTAACAGAAGGGTATATTTAGCCAAATAGGTGGATGGGGGCATTATTAGACCAAATGTAATAGTTGAGGGGTAAGGCTGACCCTTTTCCGTATAAATATTTATTATAATGTAATTAATAAATATTGCTTAAACTTTTTCACAATTTTATATTTTAACGTATTATTTCAAGTTTGGACTTAACATTCTTGAATGGTAAATAAATTTCATAGCCCATAAATATAGTAACTCAAACAAAGTTCAAATTAATACTAATGCTAACAAAAGAAATTCAATTCAATACTAGGAATGATGATAGTGTTGGATATCTATTTTTTTGTTTAATATTGGTTTATAATGAAAATGCATAACTTAGTTTATCTTTTTAAGTGTTTAGTTATGTAATTAATAGTACTTATTAGCTATACTTATTTTAGATTGACCTATATTGTAACGACCCGACCGGTCGTTTTGAGCAATTGAACTTTTCTCGGTTATTTGAGGGCATGAATAGCTCTGTATGATGTATTATGACTTATGTGAATTGTCGGTTTTGGTTTTCAGGTTATCCGGAATTGATTTGGGAGAATGGTCTCAGCTAGAAGCTTTAAATTTGAAAGGTTTGACCAAGTTTTGACTTTTTAGTATATGACCTCGGATTGGATTTCTGATAGTTCCGTTAGCTCCGTTGGGTGATTTTGGACTTAAGAGCGCGTCCAGATTTTGATTTGGAGGTCCGTAGCGGAATTTGGCTTGAAATGGTGAAAGTTGGAATTTTGGAAAATTTGATCAGGAGTGGACTTTTCGATATCGGGGTCGGATTCCGATTTCAGAAGTTGGAGCAGGTCCATAATGCCAAATGTGACTTGTGTGCAAAATTTGAGGCCAATCGCACGTAATTTGATAGGTTTCGGTATCGGTTGTGGAAGTTTGAAGTTTTAAAGTTCATAAAGTTCGATTGGAGGTGTGATTCATCGTTTCGATGTTGTTTTGCGTGATTTGAGGCCTCAAGTAGGTCCGTGTTATGTTATGAGACTTGTTGGTATGTCTGGACGTGGTCCTGAGGGGCCTGGGCGTGTTTCGGATTGATTTCGGGCTATTTCTCCTTCATTATGCATTGCTGGTTCTATAGAATTCTGTGCTTCTGGTTTCCTTAATCGCGATCGCGGAGTGCAGATAGCGATTGCGTAGGCTTGTTTGGGGCTAAGGCATTTTTGTTCAATGCGATCGCCAAGGCAGGAAAGCGATCGCGTAGTTGAGGAATGTTGTAGTTCGCGAACGCGAGGCTATTGCCGCGTTCGCGTTGAGTATTTGAGGCAGGAGCTGGGGTCAGGTGTTGTTATATGCGGTCGCAGTGAGAAGGACACGATCGTGTAGGTTTGAGGAGTCAGCTATTCGCGATCGCGTAGTGTGTTTTCAGGGCTAGTGCATTTTTCTTCTTCGCGATCGCGAGGGTATTTCCGCGATCGCAATTCATTGATTCGCCCAGTGATTATAAAGTACTCTATTTCGAGGGTTTCAGCCATTTTTGCATTTTTGGAGCTATGGAGCTCGGATTGAGGCTCAATCCTTTTAGTAAAAGATTGGGACGAGTTTAATTGCAATTCAAATAAGAGAACGAAGGATAATTACTTGAGTTCTTTCTCCTTATCCTTCTTTATTTCCTGCTAATTTATCTGCTAATGTCTACTGTTTTTACTTATCCAAAACGTCCACTGCTGCAAAATTAAATACGATTTCTTGAAGAAATTTTCACCATATGAATTGGGGTAAGTGTTCTCTACTCGGTTTTGGTTATATTCCATGAATCTATCTTTGATTTTTGCAATTGGTTCAGGAATTTTAAAGAGGAAATTGGGGGTTTTGGCCTAAAGTTTCATAATATGAATGTTTGAGTTTTGAACACCGATATGGAGTCAAATTTTGGTAAATTTCGTATGTATGGACTCGTAAGTGAATGAGCTTTCAAGTTTTATAATTTTTGTCGGATTTCGAGACGTGGGCCTGGGGGGCGGATTTGAGTGAATTTCGGGATTTGTGTCCAATTAAGTAGTTTTTCTTGTGGAATTGGTTCCTTGCCCTTGATTGCATTGTATTGCTTTTGGCTAAATTTGGGACGTTTAAAGGTCAATTCGAGGGGCAAGAGCATCGCGGAGTAGAGATTTGATCGGTTTGAGGTAAGTAACGATTGTAAATCTAGTCCTAAGGGTATGAAACACCGGATTTTGTGTCATGTGACTATTTTGAGGTGGCGCACATGCTAGGTGTCACACCTCCTTTTTTCAACTACACCCCGTGAAGGGTATAATACAAGGAGTTTTTCCAATTAAAGGACAATCGAAACGGGGTTCGTTTATTAAGAAGTTCAGAGTCGCCACTTGGGAGATTTATGGTGTCCCAAGTCACCGGTTTGAATCCCGAATCGAGGAAAAGGTTTGACTCTGTATTAACAGTCGCGAACCAGAAATCCGAGTAAGGAATTCTGTTAACCCGGATGAAGGGGTTAGGCACTCCCGAGTTCCGTGGTTCTAGCACGGTCGCTCAACTGCTATATTCGGCTTAATTATCTGATTTTAATACATTTTGAACCTATGTGCAAATTTTAGCTTTTAACCGCTTTTATTCAATTTTAAAGGAATTTTGAACGTCGTTTAAAACATGTCTTTGGATTGCGTCACATGAAATGCACCCGCAATCCGGAACACGTCTTATTCAACGTTTTGGGATTTGGATTTGGGTCACATGAAATGCACACCCGAGTTTAAGAAGGTAAAATTATTAAATAGCGCGCCTAAAGCAACTACTGCACTTTGCGAGGGCCATGGAATTTGCTAAATGGCACGCCTCGAACTCTAAGGATAAACAAGATTAATTAAACGAGGGCCATGCAATTGTCATTTTTGTATGGCATGGCGCACCTCGAATTATTCTACTTAAGTTTCTAAATTAACTCATAAGGGCCATAAACCATGTGGGAGCTGTAAATCTTCCTACTCATCTAACTAATATCACCTGATTCTTTAAGAAAACAAAGCAGATAACCACCAAAGAGAATTTCATATAAATTGACTCAAATGCATGTGCAGCTCTTTTTGACTTCCCTGATGAGATTAATCCAATTTCCATAACCAAGTGCTTTCAACAAATTTTAATTAATAGCACTTCAAAGAAAACAAAACAGGCACGTTAGTGATTCTGACTTCTAGGCAATTTGTACAGATGACCTTTCATGACCATTTCACCAACTTCTGTTTTAACGAGAAGGAGCACATATTTAATCAATCTTGACCACGAGAAAATCACTTCGGTACATGGGATACCAAGTGACTGCTCACAAATGCAACAGATGTACAGTTTCGAGAATACGGAACTTAAAACTGCATTTTAACATGAAACAGGGATGCAAATTAACGCAAGCATCACATAGAAAACAGCAAAGGCCGACGAATCAAAAACATGATAAATTAACACTAAGTCAATCACCCGTGAATGAAGTTACAACTTAAACAACCCAATTTCCAATTTGCTCATATTCCAACATATCACTTAACAGAACCGGATGCCTAACGACAAAAACAGAATGTCAAATATTTGTCCTTAAACGTTAACTGAGACTACAATCACAGTATCCAAGAGAATAGGGCATCACCACATTTCAATCACAATAACATCGCCGACAACAGAAAGAATGAGAAAATATGAACCTGAATTAAACCTTCGATTAACCTTGTTCAGAAGCCATTACAAGCAAATCCGGTGCCGGAA